GTGAAAACTATGATTAGGAATTACAGAAAGGAAAATAAAATTATCTGTAAAATTACATCCTGTAGAGTGAGTGATTTTTGAAGTTACGAAACCGGTGAAAACTATGATTAGGAATTATAGAAAGGAAAATAAAATTATCTGTAAAATTACACCCTTTCGTAACTTCAAAGGTCACTCACTCTGCAGTAAAGTTGCTGTTTTTCATCAGTTTCCTAGACTGAAGATAGTATCATATCAGTGATCATGTTGGTGTTGAAGTTAAAGATAAAATAGAAGAACGATGTGTTGAATAAAAGCTATTTTAAACTATTTTGACAAAGCTTGGTGCCAATATATAGATAGCAAAACACTACAATGCTTTAACTTTTCTGTTTTTCCTATTCTTCATTAATTTCACCGGTCGGTATCCAGGTCAACAGTAGTACGTTTTATTTATTCAACTAACAATTGAGAAATAAAATATATTGTGACATTAACGTTGCTTATTCAGAAACTGTGTTAACTTGAAACATGTCGGAGTATTGATCTATTCGCGCCAAAATGTTTTCGTTGTTCTTGATAATGCAATAACTAGTTTTCCTTCGCTTTACTTCTGTCAGAATCTTTATATTTTCATATCTTAAATTGAGAATTTATTTACGCGTAATGTTTACAATCTACCTATACAGTACCCAATATTTTTAGGCACGCGATGGTTGGCACTGTTAATGTTATGAGAAAAACTGCGTTTAATACTAGTTTTGATAAAAAATATTGAATACAGTTACTCAGACTATCGCTTAGTGCGAAACCCAGGTTTTACGAACTTGTCTGAACCAAGTGATTCTGAACGAAATACAAACCTCGAACAAACGAGATTCACACGAGAAGCCTTTAAGTCTAATGAGGCAGTTTTGAGAATTTTGGTTTCTACTCGTAGAGGCCACTTTACGTCCGATTCCAGAATTATTATTATTATATTTCAATTCTTCTCCAATGACTGAAACATTTTATTGATTTCAAGTAAAATAAAAGATACGCAAATGTTAATTAAAACTTTTATTAAACGACTACATCTTTATAGCTATAGAAATGATTTACTAATTGTTCCAACAAGGCCTGAAATAAACATTGTTGGGAGAATTTGTAAATTATTTCAAAACTGTTATTTCGGATAAAAACAGGAAACAACAACAGTAATATTGAAATTGTTGTTCAGCGGGGAATCTAATGAACTGAATAATTCATTATAAAATACAATAACAACGACCTTTACAGTAGACAGTTTCTCATTTTAGTAATTACAACGTTTCGATCCATAGTATTGAGTCATCATCAGATAAGAATAACATTTAAAACTCTGGATCGAAACGTTGTAATTATTAAAATATGAACTAACCCACTGTAAAGATTGAAGTTATTGTATTTATAAATTAATATTGAAAATGGTTTGTTGGGTTGTTCCGTACTATTTTAATACGTTAACAAGGCTTCAGCAAGTAGTAAAACGAAACACGGTTATTTTTCTACTTATCAGAAGAGGGAATTTTACTGTGGAGAAATTTTAAAGTTTTTAATACAGAATAAAATTACTTTTTATTTGATTTCTAAACGTCACAATTATGCTTTTATTCTCAATTACTATGGAAATAACTATCTTACTCCAAATACAGTAGGCTTAGACGAGTTTTGTATCCAGTTTTTCTCTCAGCACAAGTGTTAGTTAACATGTAAAATCTCAGCGTAATAATCAGAATGAAACTTTTATTACCGAGAAAAAATATCAGGTTATAATACCATTTAAAAACTGGCAGGTAAACGTTTCGAGTAACATTTTATAAGAGTTTTATTTTAATTTTTCTCGACCTAGTGTTGGTGATACACTTTTCATTGAAAGTTTAATATATTGTTTTTCATTTTTCTATTGTTGTAATGGAAAACACCAGAGATTGTAATTGTTATTACATCTATGACTGCCCCCCCCCCCAGTGGCACAGCGGTATATCTGCGGACTTACAACGCTAGAAACCGGGTTTCGATACCCGTGGTGGGCAGAGCACAGATAGCCTTTGTGTAGCTTTGTGCATAATTAAAAACAAAAACAAACATCTATGACTAATCACCAGAAAAAAAATAATTTCGTTCTCAACGTTTCGCTGTATCAACTTTATCAGTACGTAGCTATGTCACATCATCATAGCCATAAGTGAAAATTACAAGAACAGATTTAAAATCCAACGTTTCGCTGTATCTACTTTATCAGTACATAGCTATGTCACATCATCATAGCCATAAGTGAAAATTTACAAGAACATATTTGAAATTCCAACGTTTCGCTGTATCAACTTTATTAGTGAATAGTTATAGCATATCATTATAGTCATAGCAGAAACTTACACATAGACAAGATTTAAAATTCCAACATCTCGATGTATCAGCTTTATCAAGGATAGTTAAACCATAACAACATAGCCGAAAAGTGAAGAACAGATTTAAAATTCCAACGTTTCGCTGTATCAACTTTATCAGTGAATAATTATACCATATCACCATAGCCATAGCAGAAAAACGTACAAAAAATATTCAAATTCCAACATTTCGATGTATCAGCTTTATCAAGATATAGTTATATCATAACAGAAAATTACACTACGAATACATTTAAAATCTGAACGTTTCGCTGTATCAATTTGTAGTTATACCATAATAACACAGCCAAAAACTGAAAATGACAAGGAGAATGGAATAAAAACATACATAAAATCCATCGTTTCGCTTTATCAAGTGATACTTATATTGTTACAACATAGCTTAAATCTGGAAATGACAAGGAGAATGGAGAAAAAAAAAAGAGATTTAAATTGATTTAAATATTAAACTTGTTCATCTCATCCATTTTTCGTTTTCCTTTTACAGGCTATGTCGGTATGGTCTGTAAGGATCAAACTTGTTCATCTCATCTATTTTTCGTTTTCCTGTTACAGGCTATGTCGGTATGGTCTGTAAGGATCCATAAATAGAATTTTACAGCGAAACGCTGGAATATTTGTTTTATTTCTAGTCCTACTGTAGTGGTTAAGATTTAAATGAAAAGTGCTGAAAAGCGATAACTCTCACAAAGAAACGTAACGGCCGTGACCACACCCAATAATCTTGGTTATTAGGTTTTACTTACATCTCAGATAAATTGTGAAGTCGGTAAGTTCAGAACTTGTATTACTTCATCCCTAGTGTATGATTATTAGGCCTGAATACAACCAACCACTCAGACAGTGAGAGGTGGTTTAAATAATATGTTTTATCTATTTGGATCCTGTATAATAATATGATGTATTAGAAAGCACCAGTCAGGTTTTACGTCATTTAACATAGTTTTATATTAGACTTTATTTTGTGCGAAAAATAATCGCTTTGAAGTTTTGACTCCATATTATTTTTACAATTTTAACCAAGAGATGTATTTAAGGGTGATAATTCTCAAGCGCTCAAACTGCATTCTTAATAAGGCGTTTATTTATTTTAGTTATCGGAACTCTGATTGTATTAGTAAATCATAAGCTTCATTTTATTTAGTCATGACCTTTTTTGTAACTAGTTTCAAAATTATATTTTAAATGGAAACTTTAAACATTATTTGTTTTTTACCTGTGAAAAACACAATTAAATTTACAATAAAATCTTAGAAGATCCTACAAGTTTTCTAATACACCAAATATTTCCAAAGTTTATCATACCTCCACCCCCAAATAAGGAGACGTCTACATGAATTTACAGTTTTAATTAGCTGTGTCACGTAACATTAAAAACAAATACTTACATTAATAATTCTTGGAGACGGCTTGAATGAGTAATGGAGAAAAAAAAAACTTTAATATAAGTTTAACATAACAGCAATATTAAAGTTTTTCTTCATTACCCATTCAAGCCGTCTCCAAGCATTTTTAGTCTCAAAAGTGGGTTCATCGTCATCGAATTTGAAATAATTACGTTCATCTAAACAGTTATTCGTTTGTTTGTTGTTTGTTTGTTGTTCAGAACAAAAACCAAGAGCAATATCCATACTGTGCCACTTTGGGGAGGGGGAGGCTAGATAGGGAACGACGAAGAAGGTAATAGGTTAGTCAACCTTCCATCGTTGTTAATGGTATTTTGTTTTTTAAGAAACATCCTTTTTTTGTTCCGCCCTAAACTTTCTAACACAGAATAAGAACAACGTGCTAATTCATTGCATAAAGTTCGATGAAAACACTATGGGCTCAATGATCAAAGTTGTCTAACGTGAAGACTTTGACAAGTTCCATCTTAATCTAGGCTCACTTACAGAAAGTGCCATTCACCCATTACTCCACTTTAATCGTACAGAGACTTCAGTTAAAACGTTCTAATTACTACTGAGCTACCAGAAGATATGAAAGTGTATCGTGTATTGCCTTGAAATACTTGAATAACAAACTTAACACGTTGTAACATTTAGGGAGAAGCAGAGATTAAAGTCTACGTTATCGGAATTAGGTAAAAACTGATAACGCTGAACCACTGTGCTTACTAAACGTTGTACAACAATCTTTGTTGTTATGGTGAATCCAAGACGTTTTTAATGTCATAAATCTTCGTATAAATATCAATTATTAATTCGTAGGCTTATGATAATTATCCATAATAACACGCTGACAATAATATATTGTATTATGGCGGTAACTTACGTAAATTGTCAGTATTTAAAACACGCTCAGTGGTCACGATTTTCACTACGTTACAGGAGTTGTTGGACCTTGCAAAATGTGCGTCTGTACATGGCATATGAAGCACTTTACAAAATAATTTAAGCACAAACACATGATTTTGTTATTAAGAGGCTATACACACTCAAACAAACATAACTAGTTTATACACAGAGGGTTATAACAGATCTCTAATATACATATTCCACGTGTTGTGTCAATACAAATTAGTATATATTTACATACTTGTGTGCTATACAAAACATTGAGTGAAAGTTAAGTATATATTTATAATCTTACCAACTTGTGGCACGCCGTGGAGGGGTACATGTGTTGTTTGGTTCTTTTCTTTTATCTGTGTGACGTAGTGTTTGCCAAATGTTCTTATACGACTTTTCAGTCTACTTGTAATACATAACGGTTAGCCTAAAATCTGTTAGCGGTGCCAGCCATTAGGCCTACGTCCGATAAGAGAACGGCTAGCTTGTTCCAAAACCATGAATTTCGTCAACACCATCTATCAAACCTACTTCACAAACATATTGACGCACAAACTTAGAACCAACAGTTGGTATAAGTTTTCTTTCTTTTTTTTTATGGTGTTCTGTCTCGACTTTACTGTGAACAGAAGCGCTTTTCAGGTAACCTTCCTGCAACTGTATTGTCGGGAGTGTGTTACCACACTGACCGTACTACCAACTGAAGCGTTGTCTGGGTTCAAAGGGTTGATGCTGTCTAGACGGCGGGTATTTGAATTCCCGACGTTGAATGCCCTGTTGTGACGGCCATTCCACTTGGTCATAATAATGTCTGGTCAACATCTCGGACAATGAAATCGTCTTTCGAGGAAAATCTGAGCATATATAAACTCATTTCTTTCCATTTCTGAAAGCACTAGCTCGACTGTACGTTCTCGATATAATGACTCTCCATTTGTTCCATCTGTACGATCACAAGTACGTAGACTGACTCCAAGCGACCACTGGTGTCGGCTCAGTGAGCGACTTCGCAAGTACGTAGCACGAGGAGCAGGTAGCACAAGTTTACACTTTTGTTTTTTTCTAATATATATTGCACTAATTTTGAAAATTGTTAACATAAAGTAACTATAAAGGGCACTAGATAATTAAGGCTTAACACAACGAGAAGCACACGTACATGCTATGTTAGGCTTAGTACCTTCTGGTACATGTGGACGGTTTTAAGTTACAGCATTACTTACTTGCAGTTGGTTTTTTATTTATTTTTTCGTATGTTAAATATAAAGTTTTGAATTCGATTTTTCATGTTTTACTTTGTTATTAGCTGTAATCTGATGTCCTAGGCATAAGCTGTAAAATTTTACAAGCCTGTAAACTGTCCTAAGTAATGAAACATTAGAATTAACAATAAACTCTTGCACCACCTTGATAGAATGGATATTTCTTTGTTGTTTTGGCTAAAATGCGTTAGTCATTTTCACTCTTAGTGCACGTGGGAAATCTTCAAACTTTTATTACACAGCACGTGGTCATTTTACACGTCAGTTTCTATTCACACCGAGGGCATTTCAGTCATGTGATTTTTAAAGAATTATTGCGAATCAGGTAGTAGCGCGTGCAAGTGACGGCACCTACTGACAAAAGAACTGAAGTCTGAAAGAGCAGACAGACTCAACAATATTTATAAGCTGATTTGTCAAGTCATTTTATTTTTACAAAAAATAAAAGTAGAAAAACTAATACAAGTTGTTATTTAGACTTATTATACAATTGAGGCGAATGAACTGTTGTCGTAGGAACTGATTTTATAACTTTTTTTTTCTCTACTGCAAGGTAAGCAAAAGAAATTAAATTGTTGTTTATCATAACTCAACCAAAGGTTAAATACAATAATTGTTTTTAAATTATTTGATATGATTTAATTCTAGTTAATTAGCAGCTATTCATACACTGATAAGGTAAGGAAATGTGTGTGTTTATTGTTGTATCTGGCAAAACGAAGAATAACTAGTGGATAAAGCCATTTAAGGAAGTTATTTATAGGAAATCGCCTAGCAAGCCTATTATATATATCGCCCTCAGTGGAAAGTTATTATAATAAAATTAACATACTGAAATAACTTTGATCATACCCTGCATTAGTCGACAAGAGACGAGGCTGCGTGAAGTTTGAGGTAACATTTTTATTATGAAAAAACAAACAAATTATATTTAAACAATTTATCTTTCTAATAATTCCAACATAAAGTTTACAACTATAATTAAAAGTATTTTACACGTCCTAAAATTCGAAGTGTAGTATAAAGTATTTATTTCGCTTACAATTTAAACAGTTGTTACGTACCAACTAGTTTTACTATTTTTCAACACACGTGGGTACATAGTATTTATGGTTTACAGAAATGTGATTCACAACGAAAGTTTAGAGAATCTATCAGTGTTAACTAAAATGGTTATTTTAACGACTGATTATGTAAACATGGAACAATGTGTTCCTGAATAATAGACGTACAGTATCTCTGTGTTCCTGAATAATAGACGTACAGTATCTCCGTGTTCCTGAATAATAGACGTACAGTATCTCTGTGTTCCTGAATAATACACGTACAGTATCTCTGTGTTCCTGAATAATACACGTACAGTATCTCTGTGTTCCTGAATAATAGACGTACAGTATCTCCGTGTTCCTGAATAATAGACGTACAGTATCTCTGTGTTCCTGAATAATACACATACAGTATCTCTGTGTTCCTGAATAATACACGTACAGTATCTCTGTGTTCCTGAATAATACACGTACAGTATCTCTGTGTTCCT